TCCATTACATAGAATTAAAGTTCTTATCCAACGTTTATGGGGTTAATGGGTTTAGCTGGCCCAACTAAAATACGGACTATAATACTTGTGAAGCTGGCTCAACTAAAATACGGAGTATAATACTTGTGAGGCCCAAGTAAGACGACCGAATGGTCCAGACAATTCGGGCTTCCAGTTTGGACGGAAATGGCAGTTCTGAGAGCCGCGGCGAGGATGCTTTTTGGAGGCATATTCCGGCCAACCATATTCTTACTCGGGACACGTTTTTCCCACGCGCCGCCGCGACTGAGGACCTGTGGTTCGAGCGCCTTCCCGGTGTTGCGCACAATCAGTCACTTTCCCGTCTTGTGCAGAGCATCCGAGGGCATCGATGGCGACGGAACAAAATCGCCGGCGAGGATGGCTCAGGTACAGCAGCTTATGCATGAAGCCACCGAGCGAGCTCAGGCCGCTGGCAATGATCCTATCCCTAAAATCACAATCGGTATGCCTGTACCTACGCCCCGATCTTCTTCTTCTTCATTTTCGCAGCAAGTTGATCAGATTGGGGGATTTTAACGAATTAGGTATTAACTAGCAACACTTTTGTGCATTTGGATTCTTAATTGGTACTGTGTATGCAGAAATTGTATCATTGATCAATCAACTGAGCATATACAGCAAATGTATGAAAATGACTGAAAGAATAGGAATCAAAATATAACCAGGAAAAAGAATAACATAATGAATTTATGATTAGGAAGGAGAATGCTGAATACTCCGAATATATTAATTCCTAATAATGTACCTGCCCCGTCCCTGGCCTAAATAAAAGCAGACTTTTGTGGTGTCTGGCAATGAATTCTGGGAGAGTTTTATTTTTGAGGGGAAAAGATATCCTTTTTTTAAGCTAAAAGAAAACTATTAGAAATCTTTGGTGTAAATTTTTTTCGGCCTAAAAACAGGTTCACAAATAGCTTGTTTTCAAGCTTTTTGAAAACTATAGTGAGAGGTAAGTAGGAAGGAAACAAAGCAGAAGTTCATTGTTCCATATTTCATCTTGTGCAAAGCAGGAGTCCATTGTGACTTATAGTATGTTTTGATATTAATATCCTGTCATTTTCTTTTTTTAAATCTTAGATCATGTTACTGTAAATTTTGCAAGAAGTGGAGGCCCTGGAGGTCAAAATGTCAACAAAGGTCTGTGAAAGATCCATCCAGAAAAGGAAAAAAGTTGTTTTTATAAAAGAATTGTTTCGTCAAGTATCCATTCCCCCCTTTTTTCTAAGGTTGTTTCTCATATTTGCAGTTAATACAAAGGTGGATATGCGATTCAACGTTCAAAATGCACGGTGGTTGAGTGATAGAGTGAGGGATAAGATTATGCAAACGGTAAGTTTTCATTTTCTGTATCTGGTTGTAAATACCATATTTTATTATGCTTTTTTTTCTGTGAGGCTTCATATTATTGGGAAACAGTGTATGAAGAAGAAAATTCACGTGATCTTCAGTTACTTGGGGTGATACACACAAGTGTACACTACTCCATGGAAAGGGATGGATGGGAACAGAGTATGGAAGAATGACATTTACGAAATATAGTTATATTTTAATGAGGAAGTGATTAGACGGGACACACAACTTCAGAATCTTACCTAGGATATGACGTTAGGTAGGAACATCTAGAGATCCATGATTAGAATATTTGGGTAGACCTTTGGGATTTAGTTTATAGTGTATGCTGGTGCATTTGTGCTTCGTGTGCTTTGGGGGTTAGTTGTCACTTGTTAGTCTCGGTTTGTGTGCTTTTAATGGCTCTCTGCTCTTATTTTGTTTGTGCTACTGTGTTTACTTTGTCTTTGCATCTGTGTTTGATCCGGAGTTCCCTTGGAAACAACCTTTCTACTTCATAGCAAGGGTGTGGCGTGCTTACACACTCTCCCCAAACCCTATTTTTATGGGATTTTAGTGGGTCTGTTGTTGTTGTTGTTGTAGACTTGTTGTGTCAGGGTTCTTCTCCAAAACAATGTCTCTACTTCTTATGGTAATTACATCTTATTTCGCCTCCAAGATTGTCCTCTCGAGTGGGATTTACTTGGCTTGTTTGGTATTTTAGGAGTAAGATGGCAAACCATGCATTTTTTATCTTCTATGGGAATTTGAAAACATTTTAAAGAAAAAAAGAGAGAACACAAAAAAGAAGGAAAATAGAGGACTAAGACCTTTCTTACAACTAGATATCTTTGGGCTTAAACAGGAAAAGAACAGGATCAATAAAGATGGTGAGCTTGTGATTTCTTCAACCAAGACCAGAACACAGAAGTAAACCTCTTCCTATTAATTTTCCCCAACCCACCCCCACCCTTTCTCCTTTATCAGTGGCATTTCAGCTAATCGGATGGGCGTGTTTTTTTTTCTTCAGGGGAAACATAGAAGATGCTTTGAACAAGTTACAGGTACCAACTGGTAACATTTATCTTTGTTGTTCCTTTCTTATATGGCTGTAACTTATCCTTCACCATCTGCCCAGAAACAAGTGGAACTGCATCTATAAGCACTGCAAAGTTGAACTGTAATGGATATCATATAAAGTACCACTTAAATGGTATGTTTGGATCCCAGAAAATGTTAGGATAGTAGAAAAAATGCTGATGAAAGTTACCGAGTACTCCGTAATTGTTTTTTCATGTTTGGATTTAACTAAGAAACTGCAAAGGAGTGAAAGGACAATATAGAAAATAAATTTGAAGTAGACTTATTAACTTGGAGTATATCTTATAGGATCCTTCCATTTACAATATTTCTTTCCATTTATGCTTTCAATTTTCCTCCATATTTTTTCTCCATGTACTTTGGAGTTCCTGTTGGATCATATTGATAAGATTTTGACTTAAAACATCATTATATCTGAAAACCAATGCACTATTTATATAGGATAATGACAGGTCCAAAGGGTTATGACTTAGATCCTAGAGTTTGTGAACTTTTGAGGCTTTCTTTTCACCTGCTTTATCCTTCCCCAATTGCAGGCCATCATTGATGCTGCTTCCTATGTCCCACCACCTCCATCTCAAGAACAAGTTAAAAGAATTGCCAAGTTGTAAGCGCTCACTGGCTACACAATCTTTGCAGGAAACTGCTATGTTTCCCCTATGTTTTACCCCACCTGTTTTTTTGTCCTCGCAGAGTCACAGATATGGATTCACAGAGATTGTTTTGTCTGTGAATTGACGTCTGTAAGAATAAAAAGAATGAGTGGGATAAAACTTGGGGACAACATAACAAGGTCCATCTTTGTAATCTCACCCCACCTTTTCATACACATCTAGAGGTCGAAAGGTTGCGAAGAAAAGTGGGGTGAAAGTTGGGACGACTTTAATATTTTTTTTATTTTAGGTATGTTGCAAAATTTTATGCCTCTCAATTTCCTTACACTATGTTTGGTTCAAGGAATTAGAAAGGGAAAAGAAAAGAAAATATTAGGGAAAATAGTATTTCTTGTGTGGTTAGAGAGAAAAGGAAAAGAGAAGAGGAAGGAAATGTAAATTTAAGATGAAATGAACTGAAGAAAAGGAAAATAGATTTCCTTCCATTTTGGCAAGGGAAACGGAGAGAAAAATCACTTTATTTTCTTTTCCTTTCGAATTCCACGAGCCAAACATAGTGCAAGGATATCATCGGGGACCGAACTTAAAGAAAATAATTCTCAGCAGTACTTTTTGTTTCTTCCTTCCCATAGCGTTTTCTAGATTCCAAACTTACCCTTTAACTTCTTTTTTTTGTGTAAATTTAAAATCATCCAAAACAAAGAGCTGCAGCTGGGGAGCGCAAGCGTCTTGACAACAAGAAGGCGCTTTCACAGAAAAAGTCTATGAGAAGAAGCCGCGACGGTTGGGATTGATTTTAAAGGAGTTTCTCTGCAGTTATTTCAGGCAGCTGCTACTTATCTGCAGATCAATCTCAAAGAGAATGTAGAGAATATAGATATATTCTTTTTCAAATAGTAACTATTGAACATGTTTTATTTGTAGTAAAGAATGGGCTGAATCAAAATCTTCTGTTTTTATACTTTCCATGAGGTTCTAATGCAATAATTATATCTGTGTTTTGTTGTGATTATCAGTTATCAGATAGAGATGCTTCTTCTTCTTCTTCTTCTTCTTCTTCTTCTTCTTCTTCTTCTTCTTCTTCTTTCTTCTTCACATATCCATTCAGTACATTTCTGAATCAATGTATTAAAAAAGATATTTGAAAAAAAGCTTTTTTGTAGCATCCCTTTATTGCAAAACCAGAGAAGCTATTTATTGCATTTATGCCTCTGCACTTGGCACTTTTGCATAAATACCTGGTATGTGGCACCCTGGCTTAGATGAAAAAAAGAAAAAAGGTAAAACATGAGAATTCTTTGCACGGAATATATTTCATTTGTTTCTTATTTGTCAAAGTATGATTTAAGTCACTTATACCCCAAAATTTGTACTTCAAATTGTAAACCACAGACATGTACTTTCATCTTGTGTTACTGTGATGCGAGTGTAGCACAAAATACTAGTGCAAAATTTTTTGATCATACCAACATACTTGGCATATATTTGGTTGTACGGACAAGGTTCCGCTGATTTCAGTACAAAATTCTGACACCAGCTCATTTGAAGCTCTCTTGGTGGAAGTAAATTAAAAGGGGGCCTAGGGTGTTGGGGGGGGGGGCAACGGNGCGGTGAGGGGTTTAGGGAGGAGGTTACGGGAGCGGGAACCATCCATTTTACGACGATGAAGCTCCAAATGTGCGAGTGTCATCCGTTAACAGTTAACACTGAAATCCAATGTTCAATGTCAACAAAACTTTATTGTTGTTGTACACTTTGGAGTATACTCTTTGAATATTCCTAGCATGGTTGTAAAATTATATCTCAATTTCTATTAAAATACCAATTTTGGTAGGACTAGGGAGTAGTGGTGTGATTAATCATTTTTCTAGGGAGTACTACCTATTTTGCAATATGGCTAAAAAATATCTGGTGAAGGAAAATCTTACTTTAATTAAAAAAACAAAATTACACACATAATTTACATGTTGAAACAAGGCCTTATGTCCAGCCAATGAAGAAAATTGAAAGATAATGACACCATTCTTTCTTCAGTTCTCTCCTCTCATTTCTACAGCACCAAACAAATGCTAAAAATAGAATTAAAAAGAAAATAAATCAAATTTATGAGTTTCTAATTATTCACTTAAGATGGTTTTACAAAGGGCAAAAAGCCAAAGATTAGTCTAGACCCCTTGGTATTATTAGTATCAGATTAATTAATTAATTATACGAGGTTTTTTTTTTCATTTTCTGAAAAGAAATTCTTCGCCGGATTCCTTGTCGAAATGTCTGATCCACTTTCTGCCGCCGCTTCTTCCACCGCCACAGGAGGCGGCGCCGACGTGTGCGATATCTAGCCCCTTCCCCACGGGCAAGAGAACCGACCGGACGATTCTTGTTTTCCCGTCGAGCACGCCCCGCCATCGGAAACCGGCCGCCACGCTGGAGCTGGCGTTCTTGCAGACCAGCACCGCCCCACGGTGGCCGAGTTTCGCCACCCTCAGCACCCGCGAGAACTCGCTCCTCCGGCAATCCACCACCAGAAAGTCTATCCCCGCCAGCCCCTCCATGGCCTCCTCCGGCTCCCCCACGATCACCTCCGGCGACATTCCGGCGCCCTGCATCGCCTCCGCGTACTCCTCCCTCGATTCTTGATCCGGGACCACGCAGACGTGGCGGCCCCCGGCGTGGCGGCTCGCCACCGCAAGACCCACGCTTGTCGCCGTCAATCCTCCCTTCGACCACGTTTCCACGATCAGCTTCGCGTCCCATCCGGCCGCCATGGCCGATACAAGCTCTGCCACACCAGATTCTTGAAACAGCTCACACTAAACCCAAAATTTTACCCATCAAGAAATCAAGATTAGACTAATGGGTTTCTAAAGAACGAATCTTTTTCCATATTTCTAAGCAAAAAAATAATAATCAAGAATTTACTCACTGATTTAACAGTATCAAGATAAGCCTTGCAGGCCTTTTCTGGGGACCAAACCAGCTTCATCTTTCTTCTTCTTCTTGCCTCTGCTCTGTTACCTTTTCTTGTGATGGAATTTATTGTTTATGCTTTGCTTTACGGCAAAGTTTAAGACTTTGAGATGATATGAAAATACAAATACGAAAAAAAATTGTTTTTTTTTGGTTTTGTGTGGGGAAATGATAAAAGTAGAGTGGAGTAGAATTTATATATAGGGAGGGAAGGAGAGGAGATGAAATGGTCATAGCAGCGTTGAGCGTTGACATTTGTGAGATTGGATATTACTGCCCACTGTACATTTGCGTGTCAAATTTTACAGTATAATAGAATTATTAATGCAAACAAATTATTTACAGGAAATGAGTATGATGGATTTATCTTTGGTTAAACCGTGAAATAGGGGTTACTATGATTTGAAGTTCGTGAAATTTGTACTAAATAGAACTAAAACATAAGTTATTTTTTAATGTAGGACTTAAACTTTTTTTATTTCCCAAATAGGACTGAATAATGTCTTAGTGAGAGGAATGATATCATGTAAATATAGACATTTACTTGAATAATGACTAATTGATAATGACCAAAGGTCCTATATTGAGAAATAAAAACATATGGTCATATATTGTGAAACTTCTTATGTTTTAGTCATATTTAGGTAAATTTCTCGCCATTTTTTTCGGGGTTGGGGTTATAGTGCCTAAGGACGTCATGTGTTTGGGGCGCAGTTGGCCGGATTCAGAAAATCAGTCCGGGTCAGATTGAAAAACATTGTTTCAAGCTAGACCGTTAAAAATTTAAATCCGTCTCCGGACAAAAGATGAAGGACCGATCCCAATTCAAGACCGAATAATTTCCAGGTCAGACTAGTAAGACCAGAATTCAAGACCGAAGTATATTTTTTATTTTTAATAGAACACGCATGATATGTGATTATAAATACAACTTTGTATTTTCTATTTTCGTTATAGTTCTTACTTAAATATAATCTTATAGATGTAATATGTATTATTTTTTTTATTTTCATTATTTACTTATTATATTCTTGATGAATTTTTCTATAGTAGTATAATTTCTTGAAGCATGTTCAATAATGGATTTATTAATATAGGTAGTGATGGTGTAAATTACTTGACCGGTCAAACCATACTAGACCGGGTCTAGAATAGTTTGTTCGATTTGGCAAAGTAAGAAAGGTAAAAACACGCAGAGTGACCGGTAGGACTTTAGGTGGAACACATGTAGCCCAATTTGTATTATAACGGAGAATGCACGGGTGCTTTTACAAGGGAGTTTAGAGAAAATGAATTCGGATCCCTCTTTCTGAGAGTTACAGCCGTATTTATACTAGGTTTGGGGGGGACAGGACCACGTGCGCCCACGTGGAGGCATGTGTCTCGGATGTTGAGAGGTGATGGGCCTCGTCTCTTAGCTACCTTGTCACCTTGTGAGGAGAATTATTCCCTTTGTCAGGTAGTGCCTTGGATGGATTCCTCAAGCATCTCCAGCAATCCTTCACTGACACGGGTCGCTACTGTCCAAACCCTTTTAGATTCCATTTTGCCGACGCTTTCCAACCTCAGAAACTACACCGGGTAATTTCTGAGGGATGAGTTTATCGTACTTAGGGAATGAATGGAGTGATAAGTAGTTTGACCGGTATACTTTTTCCCGAANTACACCGGTCAAATTCGGACCGATCAAATACCCACTTGCTGACGATTAAAGTCTCCCTTTCCAGAATTTTCAAGATTGACCGGTCAACTATTTGGTCTTCTCCTTTGACCGGTCATGGGTGGAATACACCCATCAACAAGGATGAATGGAACCATGTAATAGTTTGACCGGTATACTTTAGAAAAGTATACCGGTCATCTTTTTGTCCGATTTGAGTGTCCTCCGGCCGATGATTAAAGTCCCTCTCCTTAACTTTCAAGATTGACCGGTCAACTATCTGGTCTCTTCCTTTGACCGGTCATGGGTGGAATACACCCATCAATAAGCCCTCCACTTCTCGGTCATGCAATTTGTCATGAGCGGGAAGTAAAAAGTTTGAAAACAGGACCCCCGATCCGACTCTTTTGGCTTTTCAAAAGGTCGTGCCCCTCCGTCTTCCCATGTGTCATGATAGTTTAACCGGGTTGCCTATTTATGTTTAGGCGGGGGAGATCAGGCCTCATACGGCTGAACAACTTGGGATGGGCCATCCTTCAGAGATTGCACGGCTGAAGAAGGAAAAAGAAGAGATGGCCCTAATTTTGAAGAGCCAGGCTGATGAGCTGATTCGGCTATCTGGGACGATGAAGGCTGAAACCTCTCAGCTCAAGGAGAAAAACAACCGGTTGCCCGGTGTACCATGTAAACATTTAACATTCTACCCGGTCGATTGTGCCTGGATTGATACTTTGCTTTTGCCTTTTATCGGTACAGAATGCAACAACCTCGATTATTTGAAATCTGATTGTTGTTGACCGGTAGAACCGCGACCTTCTTTGTTGAATGCCTTCACCTTGATGATCAACTTGAATGAGTTTGACTGGGTAAACCTTATTTTGTCTCCTTTTTGCACTTTGCCCTCTCTTCGTTTTGACCGATAGACTACGGTATGACCGGTAGACTACTTTGTCTCCTTTTTGCCACTTTGCCCTCTCTTCGTTTTAAGCACAGTTTGACCGGTAGGTTCCCATTTTATGGTATGACCGGTCAACTGCCCTGTAGAACTTTCGAAGTTCCGTTGTATTAATACCCAACCGGGGTATTCCTTTTTCTTTTTTTTTTTTGACCGGTAGGTTGTAGATGGAAGCACCTGTAACCTAGTAATTTCTTGAAGTATCCTTAACCGGTAAGAATACTGGAGATTTAACCATGTCGAATGGTTTCGAACCCTCTCCAAGGTCCAAATGCACCCTTCTTCCAGGGCCCCCTCTTCCGGGTGATTAAGTCTTTTAATGGCCCTTTGATTTCTACCATCCCGGGAAGGCCTTAGCTTACCCCCCCGTTCAAGTCTTCCCTGAGAAGGGGGATATAGGATGCGCCACGGTGGACGATCCCTTTCTATTTTTTTTAATGGGCATCTTTTAGTCCCCAATCAATTTGACGGTGCCGGCTGATTCCCCGACACCGGTCAAACCTCATGGGCCCGTGTAAGTACGGTTCGAACCCTCTTCCAGGTCCAGCCCTCTTGCAGGCATACCTTCTTCCGGGCCCCTCTTCCGGGCTTTATTATTTTTTCTATTATACTGAGCAAGACCGGTGTAGTAACCAGCGTGCGAGGTCCGGGCCTGTATCTCAGTTGGCTTATCCAAGTGGATTCGATCCACCCGGGAAGCCCTCCTAGGATAGGTTCGACCTATCATTTTTGCTGCTACCACGTAGAATGCTGAATGCCATCAATTCGATTGATAATAAAAGTAGGCCTGACTTTCTAGAGTTTCTAACCGGTAGGTCCCCGGGCAAGTGATTGCTTTCACCCGGTAAGGTCCTTTCAGTTCTTGGCCAGCTTTCTTCCGTCCCCCGGCTTACTAGCTTCTCTCCTTCGCGGGACTTCATCGTCTACTTGGAAGTAACGCGGCCTAACCTTGTTGTCGTGGTAATTCTTCACGACTTCCGCGGCCATTCTTCGTTCTTCGACCAAGTTGAGCTCGGCCAGGTGGTCTTCTTCATTTTGCTGGGGCTGATAATTTGATTCCCGGAATGTTGGGAATTCAACTTCGATGGGCAGCCTTGCTTCATACCTATAAGTTAGAGAAAATGGAGTTTTCCTGTGAGCCCTCCTGGGTGTTACTCAGAACGCCCAGATGATATGTGGGAGTTCTTCCAGCCATTTGCTTCCTGCTTCTCCCCACCGCTTCTTTAGACCATCCACAATAATTCTGTTGGCATTTTCGACTTGGCCATTCCCTTGGGGGTACGCTACCGAGGAGCGATTGTGCTTGATTCCGAAGCCCTCCAAGTATTCGGTGAATCTTAGATTTCGGAATTGTGGGCCGTTGTCGGTGATGAGGTTCATGGGCGCTCCAAACCTCGTGATGATGTTCTTCCAAATGAATTTCTTACATTGTTGCGTGGTGATGTTGGCCAATGCTTCGGCCTCGATCCATTTGGTGAAGTAATCGATGGCTACGATCACGAACTTCTTCCCTCCTTGGGCGACTGGGAATACTCCGATGATGTCAACCCCGAATCTAGCGAATGGGATAACGTTTGATACGGGGTGATAGTAGGTCGCCGGTCTACCAGGATACTTGTAGAATACTTGGCACGTCCTGCATTTCTGAACGTACCTTTCACAATCCTGGACAATTGTTGGCCAGTAATACCCCAACAAGATGATGCGTTGGGAAAGCGTACGGGACATTTGATGCGCCGCGCATACGCCTTCGTGGACTTCCGCTATGACTCGTTCAGCCTCCCTATTGGTTAGACATCTCAGGAGTGGCCTCCCAAATGCCCTTTTTTACAGCTTTCCATCAAGAACCTGGAATCGGGGTGCCCTGAGCTTCACTTTTCTTGCCCGGTCATCTTGTTCTGGCAAGCTCCCATCGATCAAATATTCCATCAGGTCATACATCCAATGGTCGTCCGCCCCGACCAGGTTTGACCGGTCAAATTGGTTTGCTGCTGTTATAGCGGCTACTTCCAATTTTTCGATACTTGCACGGTAAAGGATCTCTACCCGGGCACGTTTTGAAACATGCTCGGGAGCATACTGCGTCAATTTGGAGAGAAGATCTGCATCTGCATTCTCTGCCCGGGGGATTTGGGCAATCTTGAATTCTTCGAACCCCTTCAACAACGCAAGTACCAAGTCTTTGTAATGCGCCATTCTTCCTTCCCTTACTTCCATATTACCAGCCACCTGCCCTACAACCAGGCTAGAGTCAGATTTGATACTGACCCGGCTGACTTTCAAGGCTTGGGCAAGTCTGAGCCCCCCGGCAAGAGCTTCATATTCTGCTCCATTGTTCATGAGTTTGAAGTTGAAGACAATTGCATGGTAGATTTTGAACCCTTCTGGAGTGGTAAACACGATTCCACCCTGTACTCTCTAGGGCCAGATGCCCCGTCTACCGCCATCTCCCACCATTGCTCAGTGGGCTTGTTAACCGGTAGGTCTGGAGTTAGACCGGTCATTTCTACCAGGAAATCTTCAAGGGCTTGTCCCTTGATTGTTGACCTTGGCCGGTACTCGATGTTGAACTGAGTTAACATCATGGCCCATTTCACCATCCTCCCGGAGGATGTGGAATTTCGCAGCACTGCGCCCAGTGGTTGGTCAGTCAAAACTTATACCGGGTGAGCCTGGAAGTAGGGTGTTAACTTCTTTGCGGAGATGAAAAGCGCGTAGGCTGTTTTCTCCATCGCTGTGTATCTACTTTCAGCTCCGTTTAGTGCTTTTGCTCACATAATAAATGCCGATGTGTTCCTTTTCCGCGGCCGGCTACTGCTCCCTCTACCGGTCATTCCTCTGCCGGTCAGTATCCCGGTCATTTCCCTGGGTTGCTGGCCTAATCCATTGGTGGTTCTTCTCCTGGGCCTTTTGCAGGTAATCTTTGCCCAGTTCTCCACTGTCTATCATTTGCCGGATCACCCCCTTAACACTTTTGCATTCGGAGGTGTTATGGGAATCTGACCTGTGGTACGAACAATAGGTGCCCGACCATTGCCGCCCTGTTTGACCGGTAGGGTTTGCCGGAAGAATGACCGGTGCTTTCCGGACTTCTTGGCATTCCTCCGTATTGACCACTCGGATGACCGGATCATAGTGGTGCCTCGGCCGGCTAGGTCCCGGTGCTTCTTCCTTCTTGACTTGCACCGGCTTGGACTTGTGACCATGCTCAGCTTCTTTCTTTGCTCGGAGCTGGGTTTCAGCTTCAGCAAACTCCCATGCAGTATGGTAGGCCTCTTGGTACGTGGCTGGGGGTTTCCGGCAGAGCTCCTTGTATAGTTCCCAGCGCGCAAGCCATTCAAGAGGAGGGATAGGACGGTCTCGTCATCCATCTCTTCCACCTTGTCCACCTCTTCCTTCCACCGGGTAAGGAATTGAGTGAGGTTCTCAGACTCCCTCTGCCTGGCTGTACTAAGATAGGTGAACTTCTTCCTCTTAGTACAATTCTCCTAAAACTTGGCCTTGAATTTTGAGGCCAAATCACTGAATGAATCAATGTTTCCCGGGCGAAGCTTGTTGAACCATTCAGTAGCTCGGTCCTGCAAGGTTTGAAAGAAAAGGAGGCACTTTTCTTCGTCTGTACAACCATTCATGGTTGCACTCTGATTGAAGGAGTCCAACTGGATTTCTGGGTCCTCCTTACCAGTAAATCTAGGTGCGTCGATCTTGACCTTTCGCGGGAAAGGTGTCAGATGGACCCTTGTGGTGAACGGGGACCCTGCGAGGGGTTTGTCCCGGTCATTCTTCTCACCGACTTTCTTCTCCAGCCTTTCCAATTTTGCCTCCATCTGCTGGACGCGATCATTGGGGATGGTTAACCGGTTAGCCATTGGTAACCTGGGTTGGCTCTCCGCTTCCTCTTCTTGACGAGAGGCCCTCGTCCTTGCTGGCTCCCGCCGGTTTGACCGGGAGCATTGGGTGCGGGCAGGCTTGGCCTCCATTCCCTCACCTAACCGGGCGAACCCGTTGACATGGGCAATGCTCTGCCCGAGCCTCAGCTTGGCTGACTTTCTCTGGCCCTCTTCCCTATCCCCCAACCTTTCGAAGGCGGAGTTTCGAGAAGTTGCCGGACGGATAGTTTTTCCCTTCTTCTTCTTGTGGGCCCTCGGGATGTCCCACTCGCCGTCATCGCTCTCAATCGAGACGCAATGACCGTCAGGAGTGATCTGCGGATCCGTAGCTTGCGGGGGACGCGACGGCCCTGCAGCGTTAAGTGCACCGGCCAAGTTGACAGGGGCCATGGTGCTGACCAGCTGGGGCTGGAAAGGTGATGGTTGCGGCATCGGCGTCTGGAACGACGTCACCGCCATCGGAGCTTGTAGGGGCATGGTCCCCGCGCCTGGAAGGGCGAATGGGAACATACCAGGGAGGAAAGGCATCCCCCCGTTCTGCTGGCACA